AGTCCTGAGGGTGCGTGAAGGCTGAATTTGAAATCTTTGGATTAGACGCGGTCAAGGAACAACTCTATAAAGTTCCAGCCTCCTAGCATGAGCCGTTCGCGAAAACGCTTTCCCGCCAAAAAACTTTCACGTGCTCCTACGAGAGAACCACACGGACCCGAGCGTCTATTTTGAGGATACGAGCCCGCACGTACGTGTAGGTTTGGTCACCAAATTTTCAACCTCGCAACTTTTGTGGATCTCGGGATGAAAACCCGTTGCAGATGCACACACAGGCACACATACACACACACACATGCACACACTCAGAAACCCCTCGAAAATATGCGTTTTTGCATTGCATAGCTGCGAAAAAAAACGCATAAAAACACACATTGTCAAAAGCAGAAAAAAGTAAGCTTTGTTACCCACTTTCCACTCAGCAACCAGGAAAGCTGGGGGCTGGAAATTTGTGATCATATTCCCACCAAATGTGTCACCTCCCATTTAAAAATCTTCGCTCATACAAGCCTAGAAGTGGTGTATGGACTCCTTAAAAAAAGTGTAAATTTCTTTGGCGGGAAACGACTTCATGATTCAGACATGATAAAAACATGAAACATTGCAGGAATATTCTCTCTAGTTGTGTCGATTTGAAATCAGCTACTATTGCGCACGGTTGTGCAGCGCACGTCAATGCCCACATTTGGCACTGTGCTAGCTCGAAAAATAGCCGGAAAACAGCAGCTGAAATTTTGTCAGAATTGAGTTCCGATTTGTATTTGCGTCACGACTTAGGGCACTTCAACGATATATATAGCGAAGTGGCTATTTCGCTTATCGGACGAGGTGTGAAGTGAAACTTTGCTGGAATATTCTATTTTCATGTGCGGTCTTAACTCTAATTAGAGGTGAAACTCCCCGCAAGTGGATGTGTAAAATACTTTATCGCAAACTCGAAAGCGAGTGCATTTTGCAGATTTCATAACCCCCTTTCTGTTTCCTTCGAATTTGCATTTTTTTTTCAGTGAATTAGCATTTATCGGCCCGCGCTTCATGCAAAAAACTGATAATCAAGCACGCTGAAGGTCAGTGCGGTCCCATAATGCAACACCTCCGTCCCAACTGCACTCTTTCACTACATGCAGGAAGAAATCAAAACACTGCCAATGTGAGTTCAAGTGTTAAACTATAGCATAAGGACCATTTCTGCTGTCAGTGACGTGTAAGTTTAGCGCAAAAAAGCAGGATCGCACCGGCAAACCTGGTGGGTTGCAGCTTGGGTTTCTATAGGGAGCAAAAACTAAATGCAGAAGAGAGCCTTACGCAAGTGAACGAAGCTCTCGTTTACTTTTCGGTTTATTTATTTTTCGTAATTTCGTTCTTACGAAAAACGCCAAGTCCTTTATTTTATCCTGTGTTACTTGGCAATATTGTTCTTAACTCCTGTTTAGACGAAGTTTTTATTAGGCGCTATTGTGAATGTGATCGCTTAAAATTATTAGCTGCCATAAGCCTTTGTGAATACTGTAGCTGCCTACAGCTCCTCAATGTATTCCAGGAGCCAACTGACCCGCCAGATTATGTTCCACTACAAGAAAAATTGGATTCTATGGATTTTGGCAAGATTGAAGCGCAGTTCGAGTTATTCAGAAACCAGAACATGATCAAATTCACTGCACTGCCCAAACCACAGTATTTTCCTCAAGCCGAAGAGTGTTACAGTAATACATATTATAAATTAAGACACGTGGGTAAATTAGTGCGATGTCCAAATCATTATCAATGTCACTTCGAAACCGTACAGCCCATTAACTGTACTTTTGGCGTTTTCGATTATAAGCACTATCGAACAGGCGCTTATGAGATTCACACCCCCATTAATCCCCGCTTTTCGATTTCCCGCAACGCATGTCCTTTTTTATGAAAAAAGGCGAAGGTATAGCAGCTGTTTGTACAGCGTATCGCAAAATTTTACCTAGCCAGTCTTGTGTGTATGTCAAAATTAGCCAGAAAAATAATGGATTCTATTCGGGCGGCTTACTTATTTTCATTTTGGCATCAACAAGGGCTCGCTTTACTTTTTTGCTCGGCTTGCTTCTGCGCGACTAGATCAGCTGGTCGTAGTTCTACTTCAGCCAAAGAGCTTGTTCACTAGCACTGTAACAACAACTGCTAGCTTGAAAGAGGAAGGCAAAGAAAATTCTCAGTTTTCTGCCTGTGTTAGCTTGAATTAATTTTTTGTGCTACAAAACGTTATTTTCATTGATCTGTTTGCAAATTTATATGTAGTTTGTTTTTTAAATAAATTGAAAATTGTGCTCACTGGGAATTGTGTTTTCATAAATTAAAGGTTTTTGTGAAAATTTCGAAAGCACCATTCAAAATTTGAACGTATCTCAAAAAAAAACAATGTATTCCAGCCATCCTTTATCGTCATACGTGGGCAGATGTGCTGAAAAGTAGAATTTTGATTACCGTTTTGATAAGGGTATGAATCTCCTATAATTAAGCAAGTGGAAAAAGCTTGGGCAAGCATATGTGTGCAGCTGCTAAACTAAGCGAGACTCAGGCCACTGAAAAAGCTTAATAAATTATTGGCGACGCGCCCAAGGCGGAACGTGCGATCATGACTTTTTGTAATATTTCGTGCTGTAGTAGGATAGCTTGGAATCCTAGCAGCTGTGATATACTGGTCCTCGAGGTTCAGAAAGTTAATTGTGCAGCTATGGTATGTAATTTGTTGATACCGGCTTCAGTAGCCGGAAAAACAGAATGTTGCAGTGCTTTAAAAGACTCCACGAGGAGCACCAATCACTTTTTGTAAGCACTGCTTTTGCTGCAGCGCAAGCAAACATCACTAGTGCTATGCTATAAATGCAGATTTTCATAATCATGAAAGACGAAACGAACGTGAAAATCGTCAGCAGGTTGGCTATCGTTTGAAAAAGTTGTTAGCTGCATCGCTGGGATTTATTTATGAACGAAGCATCAAAATGTAACTTTATGATAAATTTCGGTTTTCTCTGAACTGAGTACACCAAAGCATTTTTCCTAATATGATCATTTGATAAGAGCTGGAATTTAATGCAGCCCATCGCATATAATTTATTAGAATTTCTGAGGACTTCTTATCTATTTATAATATCGAAGTCAGTGCCAGAAAAATTGGCGTACATCAGTTGTGAGATAGGACATCTCTGTTTCTTCAGATCTTATCATCAATCGCTCATCCTTATCAGACCCTTCTGACTAGGTTGGATTTACGCATATACAAACCGTACAGTTAAGAAAGCGTAATTCTGCGTGGTCAAAGCGGATAAATTTCGGCTTGTGAGCGAATATGTTGCTATAAATTATTCCTTGTTCTCTTCCTAAAGAACCTAGGCCAATTCCATTCAAAGTGGAAGAGTAATTCAATCAAATTAAAAATCAGCTCTCCGTGAAAACATCCACCCTCCATCGATTTTACTGCATGAATTCATACTCAAACTAAGAGTCAAAAATTTTCAATTTTTTTTGTTTGGTAACCTTCGCGGCGAGTGAAGCCAGTTCCCAAGCAGTTTTCTTTTTTTGAGCTTCTTTTGAAAAACTATGATTTGAAATGAGTAAGGCAGATGAAACGTCCTCCGTTTTTGTTAAATACTGTCGGAGTGCAGCAGCTACACGCATTTACCCATCATCTCTGCGCTCATGCTATTCATGAGCCTCTGTGGCAAGCTGCATTCGTCTACAATATCTTCACTTCTTGTTTCAACTCTAGTTCTTCCAAAGTAATTTCATTCGGCATTTTCCTTTCCCTCTTTGTTTGATGAAATCATTGATTGCGAGGCTGCTCATATGATATTCTCTTTACTTTCATTCTGGCTCAAAAATCTAAACGAAGTGATTTTTAGTGGGCTGCGAATATCCGCTGCAATATGGACCGCTTTTACTTGGCCCTTCCGCCTCCCTTGGGAGACAGGAAGTAGGCTGATTTGTAGCAAATGCCAAAAAGCAATTAACCTCTGACAAGGCTGGACAAAGGACCTTCTTTCAAGAATTATAAAATAAGCAGCATGGCGTATTCCACTACTAACTTACCATCAAAACTGACGGACGGACCACAGAAACACTAGTCCTGCTGACAGAATCGAATTCTCGTCTTTGTTCACAGTAATAAAACTGCTCACACTGTGCCTTGACCGCTAGCTTGATTTCTTTTGCTTAATGTTAGCAGCAAGGCATTTAATACAACATAAAGCAATTTTATAATGTTTTCGTCTTTTCAGAGTGTGAAATTATTTTCTTGCTTGTAAGCGTGCTTGTTGAGATCTGGCTTTAAAAACGATTATCAAGCAAACACCATGAAGGCAACAAGTAGTAGGGAAATGCTGAAAATTGAAATTTTTAGCATCCAAGCTAACCTATTTTCTGTCAGAAAAATTTGAAGTCTTTGACTGTTTAGAAAAGAAATTAAAAAACACAAGCGAAGACCAAAACAAAAAAAACTGCCCAAAGCTGGAATACACCAGCATTATCTATGTGATTATGTGTTTTTGCGTTAAACGTTCAGCAGCCCGATCGTTAAAAGCATGCTTGATTCCTGCGTTACACTTTAACACGTAGACGTACGTTGGTGGTGGTTTAGCGTTTTCTTGCATACAGTTTGGAAAGGTAGTGTTGCATCACGCGGTCGAGTGACTACACAGGGTGCATGATTATCAGTTTTTTATGCGTTTTTGCTGTGCAGCGCTATAGCAGCGCTATAGCGCTGCTACAGCCAGC